AAAATAATATCATCCAGGGAGACCACAGCATCAGCTAGGGGGAGGAAAAGCATTAGTCAAGCATCTTTGCTAGACTAAGCAATTCTGATAACATATGCAAAAATTGGTATTTAGATTCAGTGTGCACAAGGACTTTTCTAATGCTTTCTAGCATGACTGTAGAAACTTTGGGAAAACACGTGTTCCTAAAATCAAACCATTAGTATGTTGGATAAAATCACATTCTCAGGATGTTTTGTTTGTACCATCAGGTATCTTATTTAATGATGTTTATGCTGCATCTAAGTTTGCTGTGGAAGGATTCTGTGAAAGTTTAGCTATACAAGCACTCAAGTTCAAGCTGCAGTAAGTATTGATCCACTGGTGTAAATGGTATTGATCCACTTGTGTCAATTGTATATTAGATAGTTTAAAATATATTCAGAGGTAGGAAAAAAATCTTTAAAGCTTGCTGCTAAATAGACTGAGAAGCCCTTGAAAACTACATCACAAAAGACATAGAAATGCCCACACTCTTCACATTATATAAGCAAATAAAAAGATCTAGATGTTAGAATAAACATTCTCTTGAAGAGTTAAAGGCTATTTAGCTTTGGATAAAATACAGTTCATGCAATGCTTCTGAAAACAGATTCTTACATACAATATCACAGGAATAAAATTATAAATTTGACCTGTGATCTTTCCCCTTAGAAAGGATAATGTCCTTAGGCAATTCACAAATAAAAAAGTTCAAGGGCTCATAGAGACTGAGCAGTGCAAATCCATCAGAATGTTACAGGATGAGATACCTGTAATGAAGGGAGGTGGGAGGGAAGTGAGGAGTGCGATGTACTATTCCTAACATTTTAGATAGCATTTAGGAGGCCAGTCCTGTTCATTGTCTGTGGGACTTCAGGTTTGGTTTGTCACATGTATATTCACACTCTTGTAATTCTCCTACTATTCTTTGTGCAAACTCCAATAACTGGTAAATGTCCATTGCATCTCTGTGTGTCTAAGCATTTAGGCCTTGTGGAAAAAAAGACAGCTGCTGTTGTGGAATTTCAGAGACAGAACTGTGATGCTGCATATTGCTCTGCAAAGTTTGGAGGGATTTAAAATAAATGTAATAATACACAGGATATACCACAATTCATAATGAGATTTCAAGAGTATAAGACACAGCAAAAAAGAGGTTATAAAAGGAAGTATAATAAAACAAATTCAAGGTCTAATGGGAAGAGTGATGCAGAAGAAAGGGCTTAATTCCAGCAGTAGCTGGAATTCTGCTGTGAAGGTCAATAGCTTGATGTAGTTTTAAAGAAGAGCCTTTAGAACATCCCCTGAAGAACTCAAGTCCAGTAAGGGCCCAATCCCAAAGAGTGTTTTGATAAACACAGTGGCTGTGTTTATCAAAATAAAAACTTTCAGATCTGGCAGCAGCCAGAATCTGTCCACCCACAGTAAAAATCTCTGTATTGTATTTTATTATTATGTAGTGGTAGGATCTTAAATTATGTAACACTAACAGCTTGACAAACAAAATCTATGTTTGGGCAATTCCCCCATCTCTTTCAGCTACTTCTAGTATTATCATGAGAAACAAAGAAACCTATGCAGGACTTGGTCCAGAAAGTCATGCATTTTGTTACTATCCATTAATTATTTTTCTTAATATCTGGTAAGTCCTTGTGAATAAATCACCCTTAGATTCCACAGCTGTGAGACAGCAGGTAACAACTGCACTCATTTATGTCATGAATTAAGTTACAGCACTTCTCTGAAAATGAAACTGTGCAGGTTTCTACTACTGCATGTGATGGGTAGGAGGAGCAGCACAGCAGCAATGCACTATGGATTGCCTTTACAGAAAGTACTGGTATTTACTGTTTGCTAGTGCAACTCCTCAGTGTTCCTTCTGGAGAAGGATTGAGGGTGTATTTTCCATGGAGGATAGTCAACAACCAGTTAACCTTTTGTCGTTTTTTTTTTTTTTTAACAGGTTAAGTTTGATTGAACCAGGCCCCGTGGTTACAGAGTTTGAAAGAAAAGTGTTTGAAGATGGAATGAAAATGGATCTTTCAGCTGCAGATGAAGAAACAGCTGAGATGTTTACTAATATTTACCTTAAAAATTACAAACAAATTTTCCAGAGCCTGGGACAAAGTGCTGAAGATGTTGCAGAGGTAACTCATCAAAAATTCATCTTTTTTTCTTCTTTGTACTTTATGAGTGCAGTGGTTGGTGGGTTTTTCTGGTAGAAGCAGTCAATTTAATTAAAGGTAATGTACACAAAAAGTTTTTTTAAAAATTCCAAGTATTTTCAGTGTTTTAAACAAAACTCTACAAAAGAATGGTCATTTTGAAGTATTGACGATAAATATGAATTGTAATTTCAATACCACTGAGATATTAGATGCCCATTACATCCTCTGGTGAAGTCTGAATATTCTGCATTGTTACCATCCATCCACCCAGGGTTCCCAGCATGGGTGAAGCTCTGTTCCTTCCCATCTCACTCATAATCCCTCCTCTAAGGGAAGTTCACACAGCCACCCCAGGCCACCAAGGCACAATAAAAGAAACATGGATGGTGCTTGGAGCTTCCTGCAGGAAGACAAGTTTAGGCAAGCTGTGGGAGGGGATGATGATTTCAGGTGTTTGCTGCTAAGGAACAGCTTCAGTGTCAACGGAAGATTGCCAGATCTTGCTGCAAAAGGCACTGTCCTGATCCTTCACCAATGAACTGCAAAAGAGAGATTCTACCTACTGTGGGCATATAAGCCCACAATCATTTGGAAGACTACTCAGGATACTTAAGTTGTCAGGTGCTATCTGGTACAGAAAAACAGAAATAGAAGAATAAATAAGAAATACTTCTTATAACCTTCAAATATTTCAAGAAGAATTTCTAATGATCTAATAAAACTATATACAGGGTTTTACATAATTCCAGCACTTTATTCTTCTTCGTTTCCACTGAAAATTGGGTTTTTACTTTACTATCTTGGTAAAGGTTCTTTTAAAATTCTATTTCTCCATCTCTACAGCATACAGTAAAGATAATTCTTGCAGAAAATCCACCTTTTCGCCACCAGACCAACACCTTGTATACTCCCATGACAACTCTGAAGTATGCAGACCCAAATGGAGATCTACCCATTGACATATTCTACAAAATGGTTTTTCAGCATGACAAAATCTTCAGTGCAAGTCTCAACTTCATCAAATTGCTAAGGTGGAGAAGCAGAAAGAGCTTTGACCTGGGAAAACCTTCACAATAAGTATGAGATTATATAGTGCAAATTGGAATTACTTTTTGTAGCTACTGACGACACAGTGTTATTCAAATGCCTTTGCTCTGTAATTATGAAAAGGCATGCAAGATATTTTTTGAGCTTAGCTAAGATATTAATTTCAATGTGTATCTCTTGAATGTTACTGTTTGCAGAACCTTGCAATTAAAATCCTCTAACTATAGCTTTATTCTGTTTAGTGTTTGCTTTCTCCAGAGATGTTTTCTTAGGAGTATGAACACTGACTGATATTTGTGTATTCAATATTAACCTGACCTCCTTCACTTGGATATAATACACACTGAGGGGTGTACAGTATGCAAATGATTTAGATTCTTAATATCATAAAAATGTCTTTACTTATTAGGGTAGAATTGGTAATCGCTCAGTCACACTGGCATTCTCATTTCCAGAAGTTAGATCTATTTATCAGCAACATAAGAGAAAGTCTCATCAATCTTTAAGTGTAACTAGTAGAATATTTATTATGCATATATATTATTATATTTTGAATGTTTCCTTTATATGCAATGGTTACAAGCACATTGCACTTAGTGAGCAATAAAATGGTTTTTTAAAGCATCCTAAAATAAAATATCTTCTTACTGTCTGGGTACTACTTTTTGAAAACAAAGTATTGTCAGTTATAAGCAATCTCAATCCACTAAATGCCTTCAGTAGATTCGGTGTCTGACACAGAACCCTCTTGTTCCAAGCTCTGCTAGTGAGTATGTGTTACACCAAAATTCTGCCAGTGGAGCAGGCGAGGCCTGCAGGAGCCGGCGGCAGGGCTGCTCCCGGTGCTGACCGTGCCCGGCATTCCCGTTCCTGCCCTGTCCCTGTGTCACCCAGGCCAGCTGAGCTCCCCGCCATGCAGGAGCTGTCCTTGTCCTCCCTTCAGTGCTGAGGGCCAGCACCTGATTCCGTGCTGGGACCCGCAGCGGCCCCGCCCTGCCCTGCCCTGCCTCGCCCCGCAGGGGCTCCGGGCCGTGCGGGTTTGAGCCCCGCAGGAGCTCCGGGCTCGCCGTGCACTGGTGGCGCTTTCGGTGCTGCCCGGGGTGCAGGGACGGCCCCGGGGCGGCAGGCACGGGACCGAGGGACAGGAGAGGCCCCCAGGCGCTCCCGGCTCACACCTCCTGCAAAACACCGGGCCTGGAGCCCGCAGAGGTGAACAGCCGCGACAACGAGAGCAGGAATTAAATGGCAGCAGCGCGCTGCTGGGGCTGAAGGGAGCTGGCAAAGGGCCTCCCTGCTGAGGGCCGGCACAGGGCACTGCCCGGACACATGCACGGAGGGGCCGGGCACCGGGAGCCCCTCGGCTCGCTCGGGCCGCATTCCCGGGCGGGTTTTTCCTTCGCAGCACACACCAAGGCAAGACCGGGACCGTGGGTTTAATGAGCCCTCCACAAACACCACCGTGGTCTGGCTAATTCTGTCTCACGCAACCCTCACGCTACTGGTTATGGAGTGGGTGAGAGCAGAGAATACAGTGTAATGGATGGCTGCCGAGCAAAACCAGCCCTGGTGCAAGTCGTGAATTAACTGCGGATGAAGCACCGCGCCTGTCCTGCCTCGGGGACAAGCCTGGCGGAGCCGCGGGCAGGGGCGGGCTGGGCCCGAGCGCAGCTCCCGGCACAGGAGCGGCCCCGGGACCCCTCGCCGCCGCCTGCACGTGGCAGCGCGGCCTTTCCGGCGCTCCCGGCGGCGGAAGCTGCTCCCGCTTCCGGCGGAAGCGCCGTCCCTCGCAGGTTGAGCCGGAGTCGGAGCGTTTCCGCCTCGCGGCCGCCGCACGGCCGGGGCCAGCCGAGCCGAGCCGAGCGAGCCGCGCCGCTCCCCTCACACTGCTCTTAAGGCAGCGCCGCCGGCGGCCGAAGGATGTGGCGGAGGCGACAGTGGCAGGCGCCGCGGCCGAGGGAGCCCTGAGCCCGAGCAGCGCTTCCCGGCCCCGCGACCCCCCGGCCCGTCCGCGACCCCCGGCCCGGCCCCCGCCGTCCCCCGCCCCTCGGCGACGTCGCCCTCCGCGGCCCCGCCCGCCCCCGCCGGGTCCCCGCGCCCTGGAGCCCCGCGCGGGCGCTGAGCGCAGCCCGTGAGCCCAGCGCAGCCAGGATGGCCTCGTCGTCCGGCAACGACGACGACCTCACCATCCCCAGGGCTGCCATCAACAAGATGATCAAAGAGACGCTGCCCAACGTCCGCGTGGCGAACGACGCCCGGGAGCTGGTGGTCAACTGCTGCACTGAGTTCATCCACCTCATCTCCTCCGAGGCCAACGAGATCTGCAACAAATCGGAGAAGAAAACTATCTCCCCGGAACACGTCATACAAGGTGAGCCTCCGCGGGCGCTGTGCCGCTGCCGGGTCGGGCACCTGTGAGCCGCTCCTGTCCCGTGCCCTTTCGGCTCTCCGTGCCTTGTGCTGCGTAGGACACAAAAGGCAGGGGCTCGTGAGGCTGTGCAGGAGCAGCGTGTGCTGTCCGGCTCGCCGGCCGCGCTGCACAGGGGCTGCCTTTGTGTGGCGAGAGCCGCTCTGGGTGTGCTCAGCGCCAGCTCCGGTTTGTGCTTCACAGAAGCCTGTGATGCTGTGAGCCAAGTCACCGAGTCTCTTCCTCGTACCTGTGAAACGAGCTCTGCTCTTTCGAATGGATGTGCAGCGCGTTTTAGGAACCTGAATTAGTAAATGTCTTTCTAGCTGGAGATCGATTATGTGGGGCCCAGGCTTTATTCCATGGTAGTCTTATCTGGAATCGCTAAAGGGTATATTTCTTTAGGGCTGTCCTACAGTCTGTTGTTTAATGTTGGATCTTCGTATCTGTTGCAGAGAGCATTTAAGCGTGACCTATGCCCGTGTATGTTTCTGTGCTGTTGACTTGCACTTCTGCTTGCTTGAATAAAAGGCGAGTTCTCTCTCCGTGTCGTTTGTTTTTCTTTAAATTCTGTCGCAAATAAGGAGTTTTCTTGCCTCATCCTGAAGTCTGCATTAGGCATATTTTTTTTTTTTTTTTTTCAGAACTCCTTTGCTTCTTAAGCCGGGGCTGTTGGTACCGGTGTTTGCTGCAAACAAATTTATAGCAGCAGTAGTGAAAGATTACTTTACTCGGCTGCCTAGTGGAGATATTAACAGCAGCATTTGCAGTACAGCTATTTTCAGGGCTGTGATGATATCAAGTTATTTTAAAAATGTTGTGGTTGTATGATTTTTTGAAGCAATATTTGCTGTTTCAGCAAAAAAAAAAAAAAAAATTGGTTCTCTTGAAGTTTACTAGCTTCCTCGCCAGAGGAGGTTCAAGTACTTGACTGGGTCAAGAACTGCAAAAGAAAATAAGTAGCATGTGTGAGCTTTAATGTTAAATGAAATGCATGTAAGCTTGGAAGTTTAGCAAAGTAGCTCCATCACAGAAGCCTAGGATGTGAAGTAAAACCTGTGCTTACACATGGAAGAGTACTTTAGGTGTGATGCTCTTTAATACATGGCTAATTTTTTCAAGTCGCCACAAAAAACATTTGAGGTTAGTTCTTAACGCAGGAATAGATGTGATCTTTAAGACTGAGGGCATGCACTTTTGTGTATGAAAGTATTTTGTACCCAGTAGTGGTGGTTTGTAGAAAAGATTTCACCTATTGCTGTCCTAGGCTTAGTCTGGGTTTTTTTTGGAAAACAATTTGAGACTAAAATGAGTGTGCATAACATCAGCAGATGGTCCCATGCCAAGTGTTTTGCTGGGTTCTATGTCCTTGTATTATCATGTTAGAGTTAGAAAAAGTTATTTTCAAATGAAATCTATACTTTGTAATAAATTATTGCAATGTATCCATTTTTGTAATGTTCTAGAGATGGAATGGATTCTCTGCTGTGCTTATGTTTAAGGAAGCTGTAATTGCTATTAGCTCCTTTCAGATGCTGGTCAGCTGGCAGATGATCCCTGTGTGAGGTTTGAGGGTTGTGGTTGCCAGTTTTGGAAACAGCCATTGTGTAGGTGGAGTATTTCAGCATTTTCATCCATCTTCATACATTCTAGATTCTTGCTGTTTTGAATGCCTCTTGATGCAGCAGCTTCATGACAATGATGCTAGTAACAAATGAGGCAATTGAAATCTGTTTGTTGTGGTCATCCATGTGTCTTCTTCCTTCTGGATGCTTAGCAGTCAGATGAGGCTAATGGCCATCAATCACACCTGCTCCAGCCTAAGCACAAGGTGCTGCCCAGAGGACTCCTTGTACTCTCCAAGCTGGATCTGGCAATTGCAGCTAGAACTGACCCTTTTGAGAATTTAGGGCAGAGCAGGGTTTCCTCTCAGAGGAGTTTGCTGGCTGTAAACAAGTTACTAGATGGGGAGCAAGAGGCAGGAAGGGTGTTTTGCTGGGCCAGAAGAAGGGGAAAAGGCACTCTGCAGTTGGTGACACTGCCACTGGACTGGTTGGAGCTGGGGTGAGGCTGCACTTGGTCACTGTGCTGAGGTGTTTGGCACAGTGGTGCTGGAGACACCCCTTCCTTGGCTGCACTGTTAAAGTGATTGTGTGGCCGAGCAAGAACTCTCTCTCCACCCTTGGGTTATGCTTGGGATAGATGAGGTCCTTGCTGTGTGTTACTGTGTGATAGCCCTGGCACAGTGCTGTCAGCAGCTTAGGGAGGGGAAAGCAGAGGCTTCTTGCATCCCATTAGAGACCTGAGTGGATAGATGCTCTCAGACTATGCCAACACTCACTGCTGGTAACAAAATGCAAGACAGCTTTCTTGGAGAGTACCCAAAAGCATCAAGACTATGCAATAGTTGTAAGCAGAGGTCTCCACATTTATTGTTGAATTCCACCATCAGGAACCAAGTTGTGAATCTGCAGCTCTAGTAAGCAAATGAATGTTCTGCCATCCTGGAACAGAAAATGGAATCATTTGAGTGTTATGTGACTTGTGACAAAGCAGGCTTTTTATGAGAAATGAAATTTTCACAGAATTCTGAAAATGATGATTTGTAAAATCACCTTTTTTATGAACTCAGTTACTTTTGATTACTTGGTCTACACGGAATTGTTGTGCAGTAAGGTAGGCTGTGGATTGATGTCAAATCTTGTCTCTTCATGGACTGTTAGGATACTGACATGTGTATGTTAGCACCTAATTTTAAAGGAGTCCCACACAGCTGTTCATGTTTGGGATTTGATTTTGGAAGGTTTTTTTTTCTTTGAAAGGAGCATAAAAATTTAAAAATCTCAGATATTAATGACTTGATTTTATAAAATAAAAGTAGTACTAACTATGTGTCACTGATTACTCAGAGACCTGCACCTTCATGCAGTCATTAAGAGTAGGAGGAAGCAGGGGAAAGGATAATTGTGATCTGGTGTTTGTAAATATGAGTTGTGTTATGCCAATTGCCGTATTTTGGAATTCAGCTGTTTACATTTGGTGGGATAGTTGTAGCCTCAGGAAGATACTAAATTTTTAGCAATCTGGATAGGATGGTATGTTTAATACTCAAAAAATAGAAAGGCTTTGAATTTTGATGAAATAGCGTCTCTGATACAGTACTAATCACTTGTCCCACATTTTAGCACCATGCTGGTATAAAGGGATTCATATTCCTTCCATTCATATGTGTGCTGTAAGCCTTGGTGTGCTTCAAGAAGATGGTAAACTTTGTAAGTTGTTTCACAGGCAGTAGAATTTTGATGCAGTAGATCTATGATGTATAAATAATAATAATATATGGTCCTTCATAACTTTGTTATATTGAATAATTGTAAAAATCTGTCTTGGTTGTATCACATGGGGGGTTGAATTTTATTTTTGTGCATGTCTGTGCTATATTCAATTCATAATTGTAAGTTCTTCCATTCATTTATTTTCTTTTCAAGACCGTGTAAAATTTCTGTAAAAACACATCTTGCTGTTAACTTCAGACTCAGCAGTTGCTCATACTCTGGTGCAGCAGATTGCCAAGCCTGGTCTTTTGACAAGCACCTCTCGTTTTGCGTGATGGTTTGTCTTAGTGAGGTTAGGCTTGTAGGTTTCTTCAGTTTGGTTTAAAAAGTATGACCTAAAGAAGTTTACTGTATGTACTGTTTACATTTTAAAATTGAATGAGTTCTTAAATATCTGTAGAGTATTAAGATAAGCAGTTCTGGACTGTGAGACGTGGATTTGCCTCCTCTCTGCTGAGGCTGGATGAAACAAGTTTCTGAAGCTTTTTGGTAATTCTCCTAGAAACTGTGGGCTAATTGGAAGAAGTGTTTCCAATGTCTGTGTGTGGGCTGAGGCTGAACTGGCACACTGTCTCTGAAGTAATTTGATTATCTCTAAATCAGTTTGTCTTTTAACTTCTTTTTTTTTTTTTTTAAGAAATAAGTATGATGTGAATTTCTTTGCCAGGTTCTCTGTTAAGGGGAAGGTGGTGCTGTGTGACTGGAGGGCAGCAGCCACGGCCTGTTGGAGAAGACAGTGTGTGAGCTCTCTCCCTTAGCACAAGTTGGAAGCTGAACTCTTAGAGAATGCCTTTGGGTTTTGTTTAGATTATGGTACCATGATGTGCTGTTGTAGTTATGGCTAGGAAAATGTTGCTTACAAAACTAGTGTTAGAATATTGTCTGAGTTACTGTAAGTAAGATTTGTTTATAACGAGTTGTTGATTGCTGTTGTGCAGTTTCGTGCTAGCTTGTCACGAAAGTTTGAAATTAGGATAAAGGTTAAAGCAGCTCCTGTCTTGTAAACTCTGAATTGTGTAAATGCTGGAAATTAACCATGTTTTTTATTTAACTGATACTTGTGTCTAGTATAATTGGTGTTTATGTAATGTTTCCAGTATATTCTGTAATAGGTTCATTTTGGGTGTGTGTGAAGGCATGTTGTAGTAAATGGTGCATGAGGAAACTGCCTTTTGTCACATGTGCTACCTGAGTTTTTAAAATCCTTTCTGCTACCTTTGCATTCTTTAAAAAAACTGTTGTTGCAGGGTATAGCTGCTTTAATGATTTCTTTGGGCAGATAACAGTGCAGGATTTTAGTTTCTGAATACATTTTAATGTGGAGATAAATAGGAGTTCTGTTGAGAAATAAAACAAGAGCTTATACATAACTTTATATAGCTTTATATATGTGTACTATGCATTTTTGTATATAGGAATTTAGATACTGAAAGACAAAAATTAAAATTCAGCAACCCAACATAATATAATTTATTTCTGCCTTTTTGAAGGGTGTGTGATCACTTGACATGCATCACTTCTGCTCTGTTATAGGTTGCTAATTTGCCTTCTACTGAAGACTTGAAAAACCTGGAAAGGTAGAATCTCTGGGAGAAAATTCAGTTAGGAAGGACTTCTTAGCTGTATAAATTTTGTCAATTCTGATATAGAAAAGATGGGGAAAAGTGGTCTTTTGGAGAATAATGCCTATCTCTAGCAAAGTGTATCTGAAAGCCCTGAATCCTATGCAAGTGCAAGCTTCTTTGGTTGTGTTTGATGAACCTTAATTTTTTAAGCCTAAAAACTTGTATTACTACAGGACATAGCACAAGAGGGAGGGAAAATAGTTGTCAGATCTTTTTAAGAGCAGAGATTTTTGTCACCAGATGATAGGAAAGTTACCAAATATTTTGCTTTTTTTTTCTGTTGTTTTAACTAAAATCAATATCTATTATCAGAAACTTTATGAAAGGTAACCACTGTCTTTTCTCTTTTTTTTTTTTTTTTTCTTCTTTCTAGCGCTAGAAAGTTTGGGGTTTGGCTCCTATATCACTGAAGTAAAAGAAGTCTTACAAGAATGCAAAACAGTAGCACTAAAGAGAAGAAAGGCCAGTTCACGCTTGGAGAACCTCGGCATTCCGGAAGAAGAGCTACTAAGGCAGCAACAGGAATTATTTGCACAAGTAAGTGAAGCAATTCTTGTCCTGGTGAGGTTGGAATCATTAATGCTGCAGGTCTAGGGCCACACAAACGTGCACACCTCAAGAAATATCCCTTTCCTTGTGAATTGATGTGGCATCTAAAATGCTATTGATCGTGGCCTGCTTGAATTGGGGAATGTGGAGTTAACAAATAAGAGGCTGCTACTTGATACTTCTGTGATTTGACATACAGGACTTTGTATGTGAACATATTTCATATTCTAGCTTAAAAAAGCGTGGGGTTTTGCTGCTACTTGAGTATTTCCAGTCTCTCATGGAGAATACATTAAGAATTAGTTGACAAAGTAAAAGAATAACAGCTGGTTTCTAGGAAATTACCCATTTGAAGCATTAAAAAGTGAAAATGGCTTTTCTGTTTCTGACCATCAGTGCATAAATGTTATTTCTTATACTTGGAAAGAAACTTTATTCTTGGCAAGACTATAATTGAGTGAATTCATGCATAAATTTTTAAAGAGGCTATTGAGGCATGGAAAAAGCATTTGTCTGCAAATAGTGTACTCACACACATATATACACATTCTCCTTCATCCCAGCCTTATCCCCTTCCAGCTTTCCCAGACAGTTTATCATCTCCCAGTTTGACTAAAATATGATTATATTTTTTTTCTCTGTCTTTCTGTTAACTACTCTCTTAGTTTGACAAGACCATTCTCTAAACTAAGAGCTTGGAAAGTTATCTGGTATTTCTCTTTTCTCTTAACCAAGGCCAGAGTCTTATTTTCTCACTTTGCTTACTCTGATTTCCTCTGATGAAAATGCTTATTCAGTTAATGTCTGATTACTGTGACCTTCTCTCCCCTTTGCAATACTTTTATCTTGCTGAGACTGTTGTTTTTCATCTCATGACATGCCAACTACTTTAATCTTTATTGCATGATGAATTTTAAAGCATTTAAAATTTCAGCATACCGTGTAGCTATTGCAATGAACTAGTTATGATCAAGTCACATGTGCCTAACTCTTGTTAGACTGTACTAAATTAGAAGGACCAGTATGGCTGCTTCTGGATTTTGGGTAAGATTGACAAATAGGCAGTTGGATTCCTGATTTTTCCTTACTATTTTGTTCAAGTAACTCAGCATGATACACAAAATAAAAAAGCAGCAAAACCAAGGTATATTAAGGGACTACTAGCTCCAGAGTATCACTGAAAAAAATAAATTAAAAAAATTTGCTGAAACCTCCTTATACAAGCTACACTTTGTCTAAGGAATGACAACTTGAAGAATATTCTTTTAAAATTCTGTTACTGTGCCTTAACTTCTAATTTAAGACAGCACATGCCAGTTTGACAAGATTATATGAATGCTTTTTAAAAATAGTGTTTGGTAATATGGAAAATGTTTGCTTAGATTCAAGGATGACAGTCTCATTTTTCAAAAATAGTAGCTGTAATGTGCTGTTGGAGGTACTGTAATTAGTCTTTAAAATAGTTACACACATGCATGCTTATTTATTTGTTTCAATATTTTTAATATTCTAGAGCATGACACTAATGCTGACTTCTTGCTCTCTTTTGAAAATACCTGCCTGTTATTGTTATGGATATTTGACACCTCTGGCTTGGATGATTGTTAATATTTGAAATCAGGGAGTGTATTATCCCAATATCTTTGTCTAAGTTTTTGTGCAAGACAGGGGTCTTCATAGATTTGGGGTTTTTTTGAGGCTGCCTCACTGAACTTGTGCAGTAAATGAATTAAGTTTACCAGATGCTTATAGAGTTTCTTGATCAGTCCAACTCAAAGGAGTTCTTCAGTATGTGGGTTTTTTCTCTCTTCCCGTTTCTGGAATGGTGAAGTGTTGCATTACAGATGTGGCTGTGAGGGTGGGCACTGCCCAAGTGATGCATCCAGTGTGAAGTGCTGGGCCTGTGTTTCCTGGAGCATGCACGTGTATCAGCTCTCAGTGCACTGTAAACTTCTCTGCACAGGCTCAGGAGGGAGCCCTGTAGTTACCTCCTGTCTGATAAATATTTGTGCCTTCCTATGTGGACAGATGCTGCTGCCTTTCCTTTGAAACTTTACAACGTCTTAAATTGCATTCCAGCCCTTGTAACTGTGCTACCACTTTAAGTATGAAATACTGAAAAGTTTTCCTTGAGAAGAGATTTCTACTTCTGTATTTTTTTACTGCTAGAACCGAAGAAAATGTGACACTTTGTAATAATAAGGGAACACTCCCCTTTTTTTTTTCCCATTGCTAAGTTGACAGACAGGGTTTGATTGTTTTCCAGACATTATCTTTTGGTATCTTATAGTTTGCAAAACTGAAAAAAATTGATGCTTTGGAAAAAAAAAATAGGAGTGCAGTAGGATTAGAAAGGAAATTAAAATAGTCTTAATGATGACTTGTAAAGGTAGAAGAGTAAAATAGACTGGAAATTTTTCATTTTGAGAACTTTCTTTTAATGTTCAGTCAAAATAGAAATTGTAGTTGTAACTTTAACACAATCAGTTAGTGTATTGCTGAAATCAAGAGGAGTTACCAAAAAACAAGTGAAAACCCTGGAGAGAAAAATGGAGATTCATCAGCTGAACTATTTGAAATGTTGTTGAGAATCTTTTGCACTTTTCAGTAGAAGTCTGTACCTTTCTGTAGCAAAGCCATCCTCAGTTGTCACACCTGAATTTGAGAAGACCCTGCCTTGCTCTGTTTTGCACAGATTGCTTAGCAAAGTAAGATAATGGCTTGCTTTGTTTTTATGATAATGTGTGCCTCTGTGGTTCAGTTGGATGATTTCATAGTTGGAAGTTTTGTTATTTGTAATCAACAAAGCAATGCTATTCCCATCTCTGAACTGTGATTAAATGTTAAGATCCCTTGAAACTGATGTCTAAAGTTTCCTTTGCTTAGCCACAGTTAAATTTTTCATTAGTTAGTGGTTCAGCACAGTTGTTACAGTGGACCTTAAGTACACTAGTTTCTGTCTGTTGTTTTTGTAAGTGTAAGGCCTTGAAACAGTGTTGTCTTCAGAGGGAAAGAGAATGTAGCTAAACTTCTTGGTACAAATTATTAAGGTACTTCTCAATGTGGTTTTGCATATGCAATTAATAAAAACCCAGAAAAAATATTAAAAAAGGAATCTGCAGGTACAGATAAAAATGTGTTTAAAGAGAATCTGTTCTAGAGGTTCTTCACGAGCTATGCGTGGCCTTAACAATTAAATTCGTGTCTCTAGGCTAGACAACAGCAAGCAGAACTGGCACAGCAGGAATGGCTACAGATGCAACAAGCAGCTCAACAGGCACAGCTCGCTGCTGCCTCAGCCAGTGCATCCAATCAGGCAGGATCTTCTCAGGATGAAGATGATGAAGATGATATCTGAAAATCACCAGCTGAGTTGTCTTACTAAGAAATACTTTTCCTGCACAATGAAAACAGTGAAATGAATGCTTACCTGTAAGTTTGTATGCATCGTGGACTGGCAGTTGGTATTCTAGGGGTGTCTGCTGTTGTGTGCTGTACATGTATAAACTGTCTTTTTTGAACTCTTGAAGATTTAAGGTTCAGTATCATATCAACTTTGGATTTTTAATGGTGTATATGGAAATTTTAGATAGCAGTGCGTCATTTATTTGATCAATAAACAGTGTTACAATAAACAACATGTTTATAAAATATAGTGAGATTTATACAAAAAGCTCTAAATCCACATTTGCATTTCTTCCCTTTTAACTAAACTATAAAATCTTACTTAGAATTTTTAATTGTTTTTGGGGGGAGTGGTACAGTAGACATAATCTGTTAACGTGGAAAAAAAAAAGTAGAGTTCAGCATAGAAGAGTCTGAATTCTTAGTTCTTTTTAAAATGAGGATGTATATGGCAATAAATATTATATATGCTCGAATACCACACTTGTTAAAATTTGAAAATTATACATTTTCACCAAGCTAGGAAAAGGTATGTTTAATAGGAGTTGTACAAATTCAGTCTTTTTTTTGTATAGGGGTGAAAAAAAATAAACCCATGGTTTTATTATGACATCCTTTTGACAGTCCTAATTGAGTATTTCAAAGACTGCCTGGTTTGAAGAACTAACTCTTCTATTACTTCACTCCAGTTTAATGTTAACTGTTGTTGATGGTATTTTGTAGTCCAGATTTATTCATATTGTTGAAATATAAAGCTGGAACTTAAAGAAACAAAATTGTTTGTTCTGCTGATGTGACAGGGAGTGATTAAGTATTTAAGACCAAGAAGGCAGAAGCTGACCCTAACAGCATGTTTGTCAAAAAGAGAGAATTTATTTAACCTTGATTAGTCATTGTCAGCATAATGCTAACATTCTCCAGACTAGACTGCCACTGGATTACTAAGATACCTTGTTGAAAGACAACATTTTCTTCACTCAGATTGGTTTGTAGGTAAGTCCAGGTTTCTGATAAATTGTTCCCCAAGAGTGATCAGCAGCAATACATGAAACAGAAATGATGTACTTGTCCTTTTGATAGTTCTGTTGATTTAATGGATGAGCAGCTGTCCTTTGTGTTGAAATAAAGCACAGTAGTGTCCATTGCTGAGTTTTAATGTGTTACTTGAAGTAATACTGGCATATCTTCTGGTACACTAATCTGAGCAGACTAGAAAAGCCACTTGCATGCTGCTGTAGATGACCCACAGCTGTCTAACAGTGCGGATGGTTTTACCAACTGACTCCTCAGCGAGTTGCTCTAGTTGGAATTCTTGAGGAGGCTGCAGCAGTCTGTTTACATGAGGATGCAAACAGCAAATGGTGGGCCCATTTTTACATAAAGATCTGAACAAGGTACAATTGGCATGTATTCAGATCTCAGTCGCATGGTGACTTTTGATTTAAATTTGAGATATGTTAAGTTGCATATTGAATAAATGTGAACATGTCTTTAAAAGCAGTAATGCAGTGAAAACCCAGAACAGTATTTGTTTGAATGTTTAATTTTAAAAAACTAAAAAAAAAAAACCCAACTATCCTGGATACCACATAAAATATGTTAGGCAAGGTTTGACTGAGGAAGTGGTTTTCTGTAAAGGTTTAAGTACCAAAGGTAGAAAATCTAGTCTAGTGATACAATGTTAATGTGCAGTGTTGGCTTTTCTAATTTGTACTGTAACACCTTCACACTTTCTATTTTAAATGAGTCTTTTCCTTCTAAATAATACTAGGTATATTTTCACACCTTTCTTTTCTGATGCAGAAATCAGGTTAACATTTTACTGCATCTGGTATGTATGGTGTAATGTTTGAATTTTTGTGACCTTTCTTTTTGGACATTCTTGTGCTTTTTCATATGCTGTATTCTTCAAGCAATAAAATTCTGATGTGTTTTTATAAAATTGCTTTTATATTTAATGAACAGTCTGTCTTCTTCATTTCCTTTATAAACAAGAAAAAGACTACTTATACCCTGTTTTTATTTTGGCTTACTGGACACTTTGTGACCTGAAGTCTTTACAGTCGGAGTGCTGTTGGATTGGATTGCTGTGCACTGGGGTTGTTATTGCTTGCAAACAGTATTTCTGGGCTTGACCTGCTCTTTTCCTCTTGGCAATTGCATTTAGTATGTATGTATTGTTATAGCTTGACATTCTGCACCTGAGAAGCTGCACAAAAGCCCTGTAGATTGTGTACCAGCTGCTGAAATGCTTTCATAAAGTGAAAGGCTACAGGCAGAGGCTGAGGTGGTAAGAATTTAATTTAATGTAGTCATGATTAGAGATTACTTATTCAGCCATTTTTCCCCAAGTATGAAAATAAACTCTGGCACTTTCAGGGAGAACCTTCACTTGGCTTCAACAAACAAATTTTGCTTACTTTGCTCTTGTGCTTCCATGCAGGAGCTGCTCAGTCAAGACAGATTTCTGAATTTATGGTACCTCTGATGATTTTGGTGCACCAGGTACATAGAGCATAAAGTTTGGTTAGTGAACTGTATTGTTGCTTTATCTCGCAAGAAACATGTATAAGGATGTGTCTGTTTCTTAAATATTGAGTTGATGAGATTCTGTGGGTTTTCCATAATTGCTTTCAGAGTGCTCAGGTGACTTACTCATGAATTCTTTCTATTCTATTACTTTAATAAAGTGCACATCTGCATGACATTGTGGATAATTAATATAGTTGTATTTACTACACTGAGGTACTTTTAAAGGAGTATCTTAGGGATTCTAAACATCAAATGCCTTAAATGGTATTTGAATTTCAGTATTTGCATGTGGCTAATTGAGCTGCATTTTGAAACACTGGAATTTTTGCCACAATGGAAAATGTCTCTGAAAGCCACAAATATAAATTATGTTTCTTGGATTTTGTGAAAGTACCTCCACAAAGGAGGACTGTGTATAATAATGCTTGGTTGATAATTTTGTTTGGGAAGATTTTCAGTTGAAACAAAGCCGAGTAAAGGTGACTTGGCATTTGAAACAATGCCAAGTAAAGTGACTTAATGATCATTGTGAAACAGCCAAACCCTTACTCTGAAATGTGTACCTCATTTTCCTTTCCTAGGGTTAGATTGTGATTTTGTGTAAGCCATGCACCCAACAATGTGGAAGGAGGAGGAGGAGGGGAAGTGTAATATGAAAGATAAAGCATGCTAGGGTGAAATTTACTTTTGGTATATACTATTTACCTGTCTAGCATGGAGAGGTTGTACTCTGCAGCTTTACAGCGAGAACACATCAGTGGGATGCTGACCAGTGTTCAGATGGATTTTACTTACAGTCAGTACTGGCTCTTTGAGCCCTCAGCCTCGTTCAAAGGCCACTCAAGAAATGTGCCATCTGGAACTAAAGGATGCTGTATGGGTGCAACTCAGTGATGAGAAGGAGTGTTTGTGAGCCTTGCTGTCGGCCCATTAAGGTTTGCTGGCAATCAGGACCAATAGTTTCCTTTTCAAAATACGTTTGTGCTTAGTTTGAATTTTTTTTTTACTGATTTAAATGAGTGCTTTTTGGTTTTGATTCCATGCCACCATTGCTCCAGAAATCAGTAACTGAGAATTTATTAATGGCTTTGGAAGTATTTACTCCAGTTGTGGGGCAACAAATGTTCTAGAGTTGTGCATTTCTGGAAAGAAACAGAGTGAAAATGTTCTGTTCTGTGGTACTGTGCTGTAATGCAACAAAGTCAATCCCCAGGGGAGTGGAGGTTTCGCAACAAAATAATTAGACAGTGAATGCAGTTGGATACACCTAATCCCATACATCAGTCATGGATAAATCCAATGAAGATAGGTTTTGATGTGTGGGCGAACCTAGCAGAAACTTCAGTAATCTGGAAATCTGTCATAGCTGATGCTCCTGCTTATGTTGGGGAAAGAGACGTTTAATTTTACTTCGTCATGGCCATGATTTCTTGTTGCATCAACTGCAGGAATACATGAAGACTTCTATCTCACAGCTTGAACCAAAAGTTCAGGTAAGGATGGACCATACTTGTTACAACCAGTTTGGGTTTTTTTCTGCGTTTTAAATGTGAACAGCTACTATACTTTACATATCTGGGATGAAGATTTATAAGAGGCATATTAAACTATGTAAAGATTACACTTAATTTTAAGGCTGAATGTTCATATGGTTAATTTTTGTAGCACTTCAGAAATTTTTTTTTTGGTCTTGTTTCAAAGGAAATAATTGGTTTCTCCCTCAGCCCCCACCCAGGGTGACTAACATTGGAGTAGTAATATTGCATGCTGTAACTTTGAATGATTTCCACACTCATTTCAGTTGTAATTAGTCCAGTTTTGTTATTAGTTCAAAACTTACTAGTCAGTAATCATAAACTTTTACATCTTCAAAGCATGATACAAGTATTAATCAGGTGTGGGCAGTGTTACACTGTGCTTTGAAGTTAACACTTTCACATGCTACAGAACTAAAAGGTGGCACACTATGTAGAGGAAAAAGATGTTATCTTCAGGGTATGTGAATCATCTAGAGGGCAAATAATTGGGAAAACAAACAGACTTGTAAAAGTCATTGTCAGAGATGAAAACATTTATTTGTAATAGCATAATCTTGGAATTGCTGGTTATGGACCAGGACTTGGTTTCATTAATGTTGTGTTCAAGTTTCATCGTGTCAGCTCAGAGTGAAAAACCACAGCTGAATGAGAAATCAAATTCAATGTTGTTTTAGTTTCAGGTAGTTTTCTCAGGCAGTAGTGTAATCCATGGAAGAGAACTAAATTTGTCAGGGCAGTGGCAGTGCTGGTAAAGCAAAATCTGTCATTCTTCACCATCAATAAAGGACACATCACTCTGTAAAAATCTTAGAAAATATGTATGAAGGAGTAATATTACCTATAGATACTTTTTTCCCTACTGTAATGTAAACACCTAACTGGTTCCATTTTCACACACAGATAATTCAAGCAGGTAAAAATCAGAATTTAAATTCAGTTGCTTCTTAAGTCTGTGCTTACATATATCTTCCATATTATCTGATGGATTAGCTATTCTATACCTGTGATAATTTAGTTGTCTGGGATTGTTGGGCAAGTTGTATGCAACTAAACTCATTAAGTCATTAATAACTTGGTTTTGTTTTCAATATGTTCTAATATTGGAAACAATATTTTCATTTCTACAAAAAAATTACAGTTTTTGAGATGCCTTTGTTTAAAAAAATATAACTCTAAAATTGTAAACAAAATAAAATGTTATGAACAAAAAATTAGTTTATCTTGATACATTATATCATTCAAATGAAGGGACAGTTTTTGAGTGAATAGGAAAAGGTATTTATCCTGTCTGCAGGATGTGAAAATGGGTCTAAACTCAATGAGTTATCTTTTCCAAAATGTGTAAAAAATATTCAGTATTATTTTACCTTTTAAAAAAAGCACCAGTGGATATTCTGAGGCAAAAATCACCCCTGAGACTTTGCTCTCAGGACGGCGATCGGCTGGCAGGGATCCCTTCCAAACGTGGCATCTGGGCCATGAACCACACGGTCCTGTGGGGAGAACTATGGGAGCAGCAAGGCTGGGGGGAACACATTGCACTGATTGCTTTAGCTGGGGTTTTGGTTTGCTTGTGTGCAGAAGGGCTTGAGAATTGCCCATTTCCCTAAAATAAAATCTCTTTACTAATGTGATATGGAGACACAGAAATGTAAATAATGATTTGCTTAGTGGGATATCTATTCTGTGCGCAGCACACTGTTCTCATTCCCATTGTTGATTTATTTCCTGATTCCCATTCTTTTAATGTGATTAATAGCGGGAAGGAAAGAGTTTTCTTTAATGTGAATAACTTCTGAGTTTCCCTACAGATCGTGATCCTTTGGAATTTTTTCCATGCCTCAGTTAAATGTGGTATAATGCAATGGACATCAACTTTGTCATGAAAGAAGGAGGACATAGAATAAGGGAAGTACACGTGAAATTAAACCCCTGGCCACAGAAATGAAATCCTTTAAGGGAGACAAGTGACGACGTGCAGTTGCATGGAAGGTAGGACAATCAAGGGGTCGTTGGCCCTCTCGGTTTCCCATTAATGTAACTCGCAGGCGTTCAGCGGGACGGGGCCGGCAGCAGCAGCATTGGCAGCAGCATTGGCAGCAGCATTAGCAGCATTGGCAGCAGCAGCACTGGCAGCATTGGCAGCAGCATTGGCAGCATTGGCAGCAGCATTGGCAGCACTGGCAGCATTGGCGGCAGCACTGGCAGCATTGGCAGCAGTACTGGCAGCAGCAGCAGCAGCACTGGCAGCAGCAGCAGCACGGGCAGCATTGGCAGCAGCAGCAGCACTGGCAGCATTGGCAGCAGTACTGGCAGCAGCAGCAGCACTGGCAGCAGGCGGTGCCGTGGCCGGGCCGCTGCCGGGGCTGGCGCTGCCGGCAGGTGGCTGTCGAGCCCAGAAGATGGCTTTGGGCTGCTGTGCCCAGAGTGCTGAGGGTGACCCCAGCCGCTGTGTGCTGGTAATGCGTGAACCAGTTCTGAGTTAAACAGTAACATAGGATGCCGAGCGTAAGGCAGATTTTGCACAACTGCACATACGTTTGTTTCTGATTGTAATTCAAAGTCAAGTGATAGTAAAATATTGCTTAGCAAGTCTTAAAATGAGTGCTGCTGATCCTTTGCTACACATTCATCCACTATTCATTTTTCTACAGCTTGAATTAGCACCATGACAGAGTCTCCATCTTTCATTATTGATATGTATGCCAATCCACACTGCTTGAAAGCTGCTATTGATGCTGAGAGCAGGGACCGTTCAAGTTTTTGGTTATTATCTAAAAGCTACAATCTTTATGCCTGTAGATAATACGGTAATGAAAAAAAAATTGAATATAGAATTCACCGTGGCCATACTTAACTCTGCACATTAGCT